ATATCTCCATGGTCAAAAGTAGTATCAGGTTTTTAAATTAACCAAAACAACATAGGAAAGGATTATGGTTATATGTACAATATTTCAAAGAAAAACATTAGTTTTCACAAATTCAAATAAATATTAAATTAGTACAATACCATCATGGCTCTGTGATAAAGAAAAATCAGAAACTGCCAATGTGAGTGAAATAAAGAAAACAATGAAAATATCTTACTATAAAAATATACATTTTCTTAATAATACAAAGTAGTTTTGGAATGGTAAATAGAGAAATGTCATAAAGACCCCTAGAAGTTGATAAGAAATCAAATCTATAAAAAAATACTACACGAATGAATAAGGATGTTACTCATTTATAAAAATAACTTGGACTATATGTTGGGCACACATATAATTATCCAAGAAATCTTTTTACGTACTATGAAAAATCCAACTTTTAGCCAAGCATAGTGGCACACACCTTTAATCTCTGCACTTGGGAAGCAGAGACAGGTGGCTCTTTGAGTTCAAGGCCAGCCTGGTCTACATAGTGAGTTCCATGTCAGCCAGAGCTACATAGTGAGCCCGTGTCAAAAAACAACAAATAAAATACATAAAAACCTTAAAATTTCAACTGTCAATTAAATTCCATGTACTAAAATCACAAACTGAACATAATAAAGGGATTTAAAGTCAAAGCTATCATTAATTAGATTCTCAAAATAGAAACCACCGAAAGTTTTCTAAAAAGATCAGGTAATGGGTTAAATCTTTTCAAAACATAGGTGATGTTTCTTAGCCACCCTAAATTTTAGATGCAATATTTGATTACAATGAGATCAACTTCAAAAACTGTGTAAATATAAATTCTTGCTGTAGTTGACTTTTACTTTACATTAATAAAAATAAACTGTAGGTACCAGAGTGTGGACTTGAAGTAAGTGTGGAAGAAGAAGTGCCAAGAAAAGCAGGTGACTGGGACTCAGAACATAGGGCAGCAGGAGCGGAGCCTGGGGCTTTTCCTATGTGGAGGTTATGAGGTGTTGAGTGAGCTGTGAGACTGATGGAAGGGCTTTTGGCAGAGGAAGTTGTTTGATTCAGTTTCATTGCGGTTTTCTCTCCTTCAGTATCACTATCTGATTCATCCTGGTCTTTCTCATCATCGTCTTCTTCTGATCCTTCTGTATCTGATTCTGAATTACTATCTGATTCTGGGAAGTAAAGAAGCACTTGTATATTACAACTAGATAATAACCAATCATTTGTACTTTGCAGCTAAAGGGAATACTTCAGAACTAGTATCTATGACTGAGAACAAGCAACTTTCCCAAAGAGTAAATGTCATAATTACCATCTTATAAGACATTTGAGCACAATGTATGTAGGCTACAGTCCCTCAAAATTGTCTTAAAATTATCAGTTTTACTCAACATTTGAATCATAAAATAGTTCCTAAGTGACACTACTCACACGTACAATTCTGATTACTGGTTTCAAAAAATCACTTTAAACGTAACAGAGAAACTAAGCTAAACACACAGATACCAATGCTTTATGTAGTATACTACATTAATTCTAGTATACTAAACTACCATTAGCTTTTCATTTGGGACTCGGAATTAAGAAAACATTTTTCTACAGACTATTTTGGTTAGGTATTTTGCTTTTTTGTTGTTGTTGTTTTGTTTTATTGTTTTGTTTGAGATAGAGTCTAACATTTTTCTAGGGAGTATTTTTGGTTTAGTATTTTGCTTTTTTTGAGAGAGGATCTCCCTATAGCCACAGCCTGGAACTTGCTATGTAGACCAGGCTGGACTCGAACTCACAGAGATCTGCCTGCCACTGCCTCCTGAAAGCTGGGATTAAAGGTGTGCACTACCACACCCAGTGGTGTTTTGCTTTTTTGGCTTTAGTTTTTCTATTTTGGTACAGACTTCATTAGGCCTTCTGAAATTCATAAGCTATGCTTATAGAAATTATTGTGGTAAGACAGAAGACTGGCTCAAATGAATTAAGTCTTAGTTATGTGGTCCTAGGCATTAATATAATACATGTACTCCTCTAGATATAAAAAATATAAGACTGGATTAAACTGTAGCTGAAA